GCTCTACACATGACAGTCTTAACATTTAGCACTGGCTTGGGAATAACATAATTTTGAAATAGTTGCGTATTCCAGAAAGAATGTTGGCTTAATGAGCACTTAAAAATGCATATACTATTAAATATAGCTCATGTGCTTGAAGGTGCCATCAGACTAAATTGCTAGTGAGGCATTTTATAAGAGAGAGGAAATATAGCAGACCGATTTCTTAATCAAGCTCTACTATAAAGTAGTTAAAAGGTGAAATTGTAATATATTAAGAAGTCATTCGTGTTACTATTTTAAAATCAAACACTAAACAGGGTCACTAAAACTGTTGCCTGTCATGATTTATTTAGATTGTGCATAATTGTATTGTATTTCACAGAGGTAAAGGCCCCCTGAAGAATACATCAGATGTCATTAATGCAGCCAAGAAGATTGCAGAGGCAGGATCGAGGATGGACAAATTGGCACGGGCGGTAGCTGATCAGGTAACCACAAAAATAAGCAGAAATATAATGCAATCTCTACCAATGAGTTGCCTTTTGCAGGAAAAGGTTATCTTTACTTGGCAGAAAATTACCTGTTGAAAGTCACTGCCTGGATACTGATCTACTCATTGAATAGAAGTTGTTCCTTCTATACCAGTCAGCTTGGGTTTTGCAGTACAGCAAAGTCATAAATGAGTCTCTCTAAACTTCAGAAATGCCTGAATTGTTCCACAGCCTCCATCCTGGACCCAGGTGATTGTATTAGAATTAGACTGATAGGTTTGCTGTCATGAAAGCAGTAGAGACTCGGATGCTCTGCTACCCTTGCCATATGCCTAGGAACCCTTATATTCTTCCCAGCTTGTTCTTCCAGCAATTTCCCTTGATATGACAGTTTTCAAGATTCCCTGACTCCCTTTCTTCTGCTTTGCATCTGTGCTTTCCCTTACAGCCCCCTGCTTCATGTTCTAGGGTCTGTGTCCTCAGCCCCATTACCAAATTCATGTCACAAGTGGAAAGATGAACTTGCTATATTCAGCCCCTTTCAGACTGGATTATCTGTCCATCTGGAGAGCAAGAAGAAGCATCATATTAAAAGTCAAGAGCCGAATTTCAAATCCTGCATCTAGGTAGCTAATTTTAGATTTAGGCAAATTAAATTTGACTATTTTTTCCCATGTAAACTTTCTATAGTTTCTTTCCTTTCATTGTCATCAGGAGAAATTTTGCTGGAAGTGGGAACTGATAACTTCCTTGCCTCTAGTCTTTCTCTTCAAAATAAGTATTTCTTTTTCTTCTTCAAGCAAGCATGTAATAGTGTGTAACACATCCTACCAGAGAGTATGGGCCAGAGTGGCAAGAAACCTCAAGCTGTCCATTTTCCTATAACCTCAGAAATTTGAGGTTTAGGTTTTCTTCATTATCAGCAAGCGTTTTTCCTGTAGTTAACCCATTCCAGTCCTTCCAATGTAGCATCTGTTCATTTTAGCATAAGAAAGAAGAAATCCACGTGTCAGCTGATGAAATTCCTAGTCTACAATATTTGCAGAGGTGGAATATTTAAAAGAAACAAACACAAAGAGACTTGCTATGCTTAGAGTGCATTGGCTTGAGTCACATTTTAAATTTCAGAAGACTGTAACATGCACACTTTAATAATAAACAGTAAAATCACTATGAGAATGAAGTGTTTGTTTTAATGCTTGCGCTTTAATGATACTTTACAGAACTTTGGAGACACTCATGCTATATAAACTTTTTATGGACAGCTGCATTTTTAATTACTGTTCCAATGAGAGAGATCTTACATTTTCATTCGCTCCAAGGTACTTGCATTTAAAGCCTTGTCAGCTCTCTAGAGGTATTGCTTTAAAGTTCATTTCTTTCAGTTCATAGACTTCAAGAGTAGGGTAAATATTTCTGTATTAAATTGTCACCAGTAGGGAGAAGAGGTCTCTTAGGGATTCATGCCTGAAAGATATGGCATCTGTATGAGAAAGAGAGGCATTATAGCATTTCCATAAGTATAGAGCAGATTAAACCTAACAGCCACAATGAACCTCCAGCTTTGTTTATTGTTAGTTCTAAAGGGAGAGAGAAAACCAAAGTGACTGCTTTCAGGGTTATAGACGACAGTATATGCAACTACTTCACCACAAATGTATTCCTTGCCAGCATTAGCTGTTCAGGCTAGAGCAGTCATCTCACGTCAGAGGTTGTGATGCTGTTGACTTGTGTCTGTTTAATTCTATCAGTTTTTGCTCAAGTGCTCTGATAATATTTTACAAAAATTGAGCATAAACTTTGTAAGATGCCAAAAAGTCATATTTGGAATCTCAGGCTATACATTCAAAGAATATTGTCAGTCAGACTTTGTTGGGTAGCCCCAAAGAGTATTTATTGGAGACATGCCGTTAGCAGTAGACTTTTAGCCACGTTTCATCGGACTGAATTACTGAGGCCTGTTCTCTTGAGGCAAGATTTCGAATACTAACTATGAGAGTGTTCTTTTATTGTGCTGTTGATATTGTGGGGGATGATGCTATTTCTACGAAGAGTCCCAAAGACTATGAATAAATTGTACTTGGCCCTTTTCTAGTTACATTGATTATAAAACCTTCACTGAGTCTACCATGTTTGACCTAATATAATTTGTATCAAAATATTTTTGAGAGGCACAGCATCCAAACCGGTGCAGGACTGTAGATAGCTTTCCCTCTAGTGTGAAGAGGTATCCCTTAGACATGCAGAAGGACCAGCTTATCTGTGTTCTTGAGAAGGGCTGCCATACTGATGTCATCTGCTGAGAGACTCTGTAATATGTCACTTGCACTTTAGTAAATAATTTCCTTCTGGCACAGATTAAGGTATTTATGCATTAATAAGCTTGCCAAATCTGTCGATACCAAACCCAAGCAGCTTCACCTCTGCCTCTTGAGTCCTTAGTGTGTCAGTAAGGGGCCTGGCTTCTGCCAAGTCTGAAGCAGAGCTGTGTCCTCTGAAGGTCTGCACACATGCCAGGGAAGCTGGCAAGACACTCGAGCGTTGGCATTAGAGTGACGTAATCAGTCAGAACTGGATTTATCTGGACTTTAACTGTGTTGTATCGTAACCTGGACACCCAGCAGGCAACCTGGAGTTTCAGGTCAAACTTGGTCTTTTGGCTGCTTAATAGATTTTTCTGTTCTGTACAAACTGATATCATAAGCGAACCTCGCCCACAAACACAGCAATCATATTATTTTCATTGTCTTTCATTAGTGGCTGACAGAGAGGTTTCTTCTTTTTACAAAAAGATACAGTGCATCTTCAGGTTCCAATTCGTACATCTTGAGTTAAATGAAAGGTAGAGGTTGGATTTTCACATTGCATCAAGTATCTCACGTAAAGATGAAGCGAAATGGATCCACCTAATACACACACATTGCCACTGTCTCCTCTGATTACCTCCCTATAATCATAAAAACTCAGCTACATCTAATCAAGTATTTCTTTTGTCTGTAGTGCCCGGACTCAGCCTGCAAACAGGATCTGCTAGCCTATCTGCAGCGCATTGCCCTCTACTGCCACCAACTCAATATCTGCAGCAAAGTGAAGGCAGAAGTTCAGAACCTGGGAGGAGAACTTATTGTGTCAGGGGTAAGCTGGTATTTGTATTTAGCCATTTATGTTTCCCACGTAGCACTTGAAAGGGAGCATTTTTGATAGCAATAATGTACAAAACAAAAATACAGTGATTCATAAGCAAGCTTTTTAAAATGTTATTACCATTATTCCAGACCTCACAATAACTTGCATAGAGCGATTTGATTTTCCAAGTACCCTTTGTTTATACTAACCTTGTAAAATCTTCATTATTCCAAAAGAAAAGTAATTTTGTAGCCTAGAAATTCATTTCCATGCTGCAAATTTTATAATTATTTGGAGCTTTTGTATATTTGCTCATTACAAATCTTCTTTCCTTTGTTAGTACCGGTAATTCCGTTCCTCTGTGCAGAAGCCAGCTCTGTATGAAGTGCATATTGTTAAGATGGTGATGACTAATGGGATTTCATTCACTCAGGTTCCAATGCACACTAGGTTTAGCAAAAACTCTGGAAGGCCAGCAAAATATTTTAATTTTTGATGCATGTGCTGTTTTCAAATACTATTGGCAAGCACAATGATTATATACTCTAATTCCCGTCCAGTTATTTCAGTGATTTTCAATGAACACTACAAACTTTTTAAACACAATCTTTTTTAGAAATAAAGACAGGAATCTGCAGCAGCAGTAATATTATAAACAATGAGTTTTCTACTTTTTTAAACTATTTTTTTCTTTCCTTCTCCTAATGTTGGACTCTGTGCCTCTGGGAGATTACTAGAACCAAGCAGTAGCAATTGCTGCTCTTCATGATTTTCTTGTTTTGTTCTTTTAACTAATCACCCTAGTATTAGCCCCATGACACCTTTGTTATCTTCTAGCTCAAATACAGACCATATGTATGTAAATGTATAATGTTTCACTCTCCTGAGTGTGTTTTCGAAATGATGGTGATTTGTGAGACCCAAGATACTTGAAACAAGATTGTTTTCAAATGCAGTTTTGAAAAAGCACCCTTTCATTGTTTAAGCCCAATCAAGTACGAAGATTGTTAGGACAACTAACTCGTGCCCTTCATTTCATCCATAAGATTCCCCAGTGAAATCACTGGCCTTCCTCAAACATATCAGAAGTCAAAGCGAATGTTCTCAACTACATAACATTTTGATTTTTTGCAAAGCACTATAGAAGGTCTTAAACATTTGCCAGGCTTTCTTGGATCAAACATTCTGAAGTCATATATGCAATCCTAAAAGGAGCTGCTTAAACGTTCCTGTGTCTGTCCTGCAATTGGTCTTCACTTCTTGACGTATGTACCTATGTAATTTTAATACCTTGATCTTCCCACAGCAATGAAAAGATCCTCTTCCATTTTCCTACTATTAATGTAGTGATCTGTCCTTGTATCGCTGACAGCTATGCTGCATAGTAAATGCTATGATCTTTTCTTACCTACTGCCGTCTGGGTCCAGCTTTCATACCCATTGAGTTGTCATATTCATCTCTCTATAACAATTACACAAATCAGTGCTTCTACCAGCTTGGCTTTTGTGGTTGTGTGTGTTTCTTTTTCAAGTCTCTTTATTCAGTGTATGTGGATGCTGAATAAGCCATTGTGAATCTCTAGCATCTATTCGTTACTAGAACATCACCATCCGTTGTGAAATTTAAGTGGCCGAACCGCTTGATTTCATCATTTCCAGTCTGGCATTGTTAGCATCTGCTGCTTACCAGGCTTCATCACCGTTGTGTTTCTGTTTGGTTGGGTTTGTACAGTCAGTTGCAGACAAATGCAAAACTAGCTTCAACCACAGAAAGTATTTGGGTCTGTTCCAAAGACTCAGTAGTACTGACATACAGAAAATTTTAAGGTTGCCGAGCTTACTTCTTCTGCTATTGCTCTAAACAGGAGGTGATATAGAGAGTTGAACTCCTGTGCATCCCTTTTTGAGAGCATTATCTTGTTATCTGGTATAACACAGTTAGTACAGCACTTTCCTGATAGTGTTTTCTAAGCTGTTTATCTTCAAGGTGCTGGGTACTGTATGCTCCTTTGCTATCCAGAGATCTGGTATCCAAGTGCACATCTACATCTGCTTGTCTATTTGCTGCTTCTGCTTCCATCATCTTCTTCATTTTCTCTTGGATAGCCAATTACAAATAAACAATATTTTATTTACATTAAAATGAAATACCATTATTTGGCAACTTGCATACAGTACAATGTTAGAAGTACAATAGAAATCCAGAATTCAAGCTTCCCAACCTATGAATACAGAAGTAAGTTTATGTGAATGCACTATATTTAAGTGTTTTTATGTAAATACCAAGCACCAGGATGATTATTACAATATTGTAATTTACTACTGTGTTTATAAAGAACCACAATATAATTCAGATTGATCCAAAAGATGTGTTATGATTCAGAACTATTACAGGGAGTACAATGTCTGCTTGAATTTTTGCATTATTAAGAACATTAATCAGAATTTATAAATGAAATGAATGTGTTGGTATGTATGTGTGAATCTATGTGTGGGCATATGTGTATTTATGTAAAAAGGAAAGAAACATAAACCCAATTAAAACCTGAAAGACAGATGAAAACCACCCCACAGTTCTTACAGTTCTGTTAGAGAAAAATGTGTTGCAACAAATTCAAAAATCCTGTGTACATAACATATAATGTGCCATATATCTTTTGGTGAAACTTCTATTTCTTTTTTTCCCCCAAGATTCAGTAGTTCAGTATGGTTTATCTCTGAAAATAAGCATAAAGCTGATATTGTTTGCTTTTTCCTCCATAGATTGATATGATACTAGCATAGCATATGAAAGGGTTCTTTCTGGCATCATTGACTTTGCTGCAAATAGAAAAACAGATCAAAAAGTAAGAAAATGTCACACTCCTGAAGTGTAAATTATTTCAGCAAGGGAACGAACTCACTGTTGGTTTTCTCTTTCTTTCTTCCATTCTTTTCCCCCAGCTTTTTCTCTCCTTTGATCTTTCCCATCAAATTCCCTGTATGCAGATAGCAAAATTATTTTCACCAGATAACTAAGATCTGGCAATTAAGAGTTAGCATACATCAGCCTAACCTCATTAATAACAATGGAGCAAGGCCAATTAAGACTGTCTGTTGACTTGGCCCTTTCTGTTGCAAGGTGACACTCTTAATTCCTGATTCCAATTGAGTTTTGAAAATTAAAATAAGGAAAAACTATGTGATACCTGTTCTTCAGTGAGGAGCCTTGTAAACTTGAAGAAGATTATAGGGAAGAAAGTAAAGAAAAGGTGTGAGGAGGAAGTTAGATAAAAGCAAAAAGGAATTAGTATTAGAAAAGTGCAAAAGATTTAAAAAAATATTTCTAATCTGTGTAGATGATATCATTGTTCCTAATAAAAGTCTCTTTGACCTTGGTCCATAAACAGATATATGTTTCTGTAATTTTAAATTTTAATATTAAATTTCTAATGCCCCTCTAAGAATAAACAACCTCCTTTAATAAAATCACAGACTAAAAGCACTTCAAAATAAGTTTCTTTGTCTCTTGCCTTAGTTTATTTAACGTAATGTATATTTGCTTCATAATCAGTTGCACTATTGTATTGGAATGAATCCTCTAAGGTGCTGAACGTATGCTACTCTCAGTGAAGTAAATATCATTTATGTATACTTAGCTCATGCTGATAGATAGCCTTTTTGTGATAGCTGTTTTGTTGAATAGAGTTGGGTTTAACCATGATGTTTGTTATTTGGATAAAAATTCAGGCTTCTTCTAACTCTAGGTAATTCTGCCCATGGATCTTACATCTAGTAAAACAAAATTGTTGAAAGGTCATACTTTTCCTTCATTTAAGCCTGAATCACCCTAAACTACCTTGTGCTGTAAAAGCAAGTTGGTGTGCATATGGGCAGTGAAGTACCAAGTTGCTACTTATGAATTCTATAGACTCCAAGAAAAGTCAGGTAATTTGAAGTTCACCTGCTATTAAAAGCGAGTAAGGCCATCTTTCACTGACTTTGGATTAAGAGCCTGTGCATAAGCGGTTCCTGAAGAGCCACCAATGTGGTATTTCATTTCCCTGCATCAGAAAGCCTTTCTGGGGTTTCTCTTTTGTTTGTTTGCTCTCAAGTAGGCAATCAGAGAGAACCTGTGCATTTAAAAATGCTTAAGAGTATGGAGAAAATGTTGCTTTGGAGTTTGGTAAATAAAGCAATTTAATTCCTCCTGAATCAGGCAAGACTTTAGCATTAGGTAAAAGAAGTTTGCTGAAGGGAGAGTTGGCAAATTGACAAAACTGTGGGGTTCCTTTTCTTCAGGATTCTCAGGAGTGCAAAAAGGTTGCTTCTGTTATTTAGCTAGCAACACAGTAAGTTTGACTATTCATTTATAACAGAAATGGAAGAATGCTAAATGAAGTATACTCACAGAAACAGTCTGACAGACCAGGGTTTGTAGATATTTCTGGGCTGGGCTGCTTGGACTGGCAAGCTGTCAGTGTTTTCAGTGGAAAACACCTGAGCTAAGACCTAGCTGTACTTAATGATTAATAGATAGCACTAATAGAAATTTTGTGATTTGTCTGCTAGTGATTCATTTACTTGGAGCTGAGGGTAAAAGCAGTTGTTCTCAAATAACTGCTGTGTTTATTTTTGTTGGACAGGGGGTGCTCAAAGAGTTACACACCACAAAGAAGAGATATAGGCCTATATCTAAGCTGATATCATTGCAAGGCTAGGTTTTGGGTTATGGTAATACACGACAAGTGGGTATAACACAAGTGAATAGACTCAAATTGGTAAAGGGAAATGAAAGATGGACCCAGGGACCCTATAGATGATTACTAAATTGCTTAAGAATATAATTTGACTTTTGTGACTTTCTTTTTTAATTTAGGATTTATTTTTGTAAGTTGATTTTCATGTTTACCCACTGTTTCAACCCACAGTAAGAAGTTAGAATGGTAAAAAAGGGAGTTTGCAAATATGAACAGTGTCTCGTATGTACCAATGCTGTGGAAATAATGTGAGATGGGACTCACGGAAAG